CTGTCCTTGTCTCGCTGTCATTAGTTTCAAGTTCAAAACCCCACATGGGTGCAGCTGATGCGCAGAGTCTGTGCCAAGGGCTGACAGCCCAGCTGGCAGGGGACCTAGGGTACTAGGTGTCTGCGTCTGCCTTCTCTTGGGAAGCAAGGAATCCCTGAAACAGGGACGGGTTCAGACCCTGGACATCGAAACGAGCACTGATTGCACATTTGATGCTCTGGGCAATGCCACAGGATATAACAGATAAACACTGAGCTCCTTGACCAGTGAGGTATTTCATACACACCGCCCAGGGCCTATGTCACAGCAGGCAGTAAACCAGCAGCAGGAATGTAACAGGACCCTAACACCTGCATACTCAGAATACCTTCTACTCATAGTCGTTACTGTTACAAACCGTTAACCTATAGGAATCACAAACGGGGTTAAATGAGATAAAAGTCTCTGGCAGACAAGTGACCGAGAGGTTCAGACAGCCCCTGTGCATGGGAAAACTGCAAACTGACTGAAATCCACTGTCTCTCACCATTACAGACCAGAGACTCAAGAAAGAAAGGGCATAGTTACAGAAGGAGGAAAGGTACAGGGCTTGCATGCTGAACGCTGGGCTGATATCTGCCCTCTTTCCAGGTGCGCTGTACTTGTCAGACAATTGCCCGCGCCTCTGTTGACCCTGTGTAAGAAAACTTAGCAGAACCCACAACACCCTCTTTCTCCTATACCATTCTGTTAAGATCTTTCAGGCACTTAGAAATAGCACAGATCAATCCCAGCACTTGGGAGGCAGAGGCAGGAGGATCGCCACAAGTTCGAGGCTATCCTAGGCTAAGTAGTGAGTTCAGGGCCAGCCTGAACTAAAGTGAGACAAGAGAGAGAGAGCGAGTGAGCCAGCACAGATCAGCTTCTCTCCCCTCACTGACCAGACTACAGGCAGATGTCCACACCCTGCTGAAGCCTGCGGGAGATTCAGTCCAGCTGTACAATAAGGAAAGAGAGCACTGTATCGCTACATGAAAAATGGCCCCCAACATTTAGTGGCTTAAAATAGTGTCATTCCCTGGGTTCCCGCGGGTCAGGATGGTGGGGATATTTGCCTGAGGTGCAGCTGTCTGAAGGCGGCTGTACTGGGGGTGGGGGGCACCCGCCCCAGCGCGGCTGGTGGCACAGCTGAGCCCTTGGGCCTGTTCCGCCGCCTGTCCTTCCTAGGGGCTGTTCCCGGCCTCCGCAGAAGCTCGCAGCCTGTTGTGGACACTGTGGCTAGGACAGACAACAGCAGTTTCCTTCCCGCAGCTCCGGGGAGAGCGGCCCAGCCCGCAGCCCCGCAGACTGTGTCCGTGTGTCTGTCTGTCCGGCCGTGAGGGCCTTGAATAACCGCACTAGGCTCTTTCCTCGGCCCGGTCGCCTGCCAGAGGCTGCTCACCCCAAGGCTGTGAGCCACTGTGGAACCCAGTCTCGGGCAGGGCAGACCCCATGGCAGGGCAGACCCCATGCCGCGGTGCCCCGGCCTCCGAAACCACAGGGCCACTTCCGGCCCCAGGACTGAGTGTGAACCCTGAAAGCAGGGCCCCCACCGGGCGTCCTGGAGATGCGGCAGCTCTGCCTCGGCTTCTCTGCCCTGCGAACCGGCAACTCCGACCCCCACAGCCCCCACCGAAAGGTACGGAGCCCTGGGAACCCCAGCGAAGGAGAGTGACTTCACAAATCGTGTTAGGGTGGAAAGGATTTAGAACACAAACTTAAAACTCAGTGTATGACCTATACAGATATTTTAAACACAACAAAGGAGACAAATTGGGAAAAATACTTTGCCTCACATAAAGGGTCAATTTCCTCAATTCCTGCTGGTAACTTTAAAAATCACTAAGAACAAGAAAAGAAATTGTAAAGTTTTCAATTAAATGCGTCAGTTATCCACTAAAACGGTTGTGTTAGACACTAACAATGAAAAATATCCGTTGGGTGGGGTGGTACACGCCTGTGATCCCAGCATTCTGGGAGGCTGAGGCAGGAGGATCGCAAGTGTGAGCCCTGCCTACACAGCTTAGCAAGACTTTGTCTCAAAATAAAAAATAAAGTCTGGGGATAGAGTTCAGTGGAAAGGCCCTGGGCTCAATCTCCTGTACTGCAAAATAGTAATTACCATAATTATAAAATATAAACAAAGAATGACAGAAGAGACAAAAGCAAAGAATCAATTTCTAAAATATTTTAAATTTGGAACTGGGATTGAGGCCAAGGCCTTTACACTAAGGTACATCCCCACCCCTTTTAAAGGAGCCTTACTAAGCTGGTAAATTGCCCAGGCTGGGGTCCAACTTGCAATCCTCTGGCCTCAGCATCCCGGGCTCTGGGATGACAGTACAGCCATATGCCACCAGGCCCCTGGCTCAAAAACACTTTTCAAGGTGTAAAACATCTACATGATTGATAGAAAGGTAAAGCTACTTTGCCTTGTAGAGACTCAGAAAGTATAAAGTACATTGTGAGACCCAAAATAGATTTGGGTCGGGCATGGTGGCCCATGCCTCAAATCCCAGCACTAAAGAGGCTGAGGCAGGCAGACCGCCCCAAGTCCGAGGCCAGCCTTTCCTACATAGTGAGCGAAGAGCTACTTGGCAACACCTTATAACTTCAAAACAAAACAAAACACCATGTGTGGCTGTGAATTTGCCCGAGAACTTAAGACCCTGGGGTTCCTTCCCCAACTCCATGGTAGCCAGATTCATACGCAGCTTGAGTTTCTGCTGATGTGCGCACACACACACACACACACACACACAGTTAAAATGGTTGTTCAACTGGGAAGTGAATTCTAAGTCTTTAAAATAAATATTCAGGATTTAGCACTACGGTTCTGCCATCTGCCTGACAAATGCAAGGTCCCGAGTTCGAGCCCCGGTACCAAATGAATAAATAAATATTCAGATAGAATTTAGCAAGGAAGCACTGATGACTGGCTCCACATGGTCACCAAAGGTAGTGACAAAACTACCTTCCCCTTCCAAACTATCCCAAGAGCCCGGGCAAAGCTGGGTGGGGAGGTACACAACATAAAGTGTTGTGATTTTTAGACTCAACACTGCCACTTTCTAGTTAAATCACACCAGTACTTTATGTTCTTAGTTATGAGACAGATTAGAAAATGTCTTAGATGATATTTAGCTTTAACTATTCACCAATCCAATTATTTAAATACAGGATGACCAAAAATTTCATATTTTTCATTAATTTTTATAAATAACAGGAAATATAAAAATGACAATTTTATCAAATTTATTCAACAATTTTTCTGTACATGGTACATCTTAAAACATTCAATATACAACACAGCATTACAATCTGGATAGTAGTATCTAGTCTCCGAATTCTTTTTGCATTATTGTTTCTTTGAATACACTGTCATGTTGGCCTTTTTTTTTTTTTTTTTTTTTTTAATTTTTTTTTTTTTTTTTTTTTTTTTGTAAATGGTATAATTGCAATAAAATGTCTGCCCATTAGACATACTGGTGAAGACGTTGATGATGGACGTCCTGGTCGATGTTTTGCTGTCCCTTCTCAGTTTAGTCTATTAGACCTAATCTGAATTGTAAATGACTTTCGGAACCCCCTTGTTTTGAATAAATAACAAATGAGTTCCAGAAGGTGCATAATTATTTTACATTCTTCCTCACCTTTTGACTACCCAGGACAGCTCGTCAGAAGTGGGTCGTCAGAAGTGGGTCGACTCTGTCAACACCACCCATAGCATTGTAATGACCGACCTCTGCGGGAATTTTTTTAGTTTCATTTTTTTCTTTCGAGTTCTATCATTTCTATATTATGAATAGCTGACAATGTCTCTTTTGTCTTTCCATTTCATAACAGACTTTTCCTCTCTGATAAGCTAACGTTTGTCCCTTTTTCAGACTTTTCAGCCCTTCCTTCCTATTCAGTGTCTCAAATGTGTCTGAGTTCTGGAAAGTATAAAACGTACACCACTGTATTTACGATCAGTTTCTATAGACTGCAGTGCAAAATTACAGGTTATCTTTCACAAACAAATTAGTAAAAAAAAAATCAGAACTTATTAAATTTCACTAGAAATATCAAAGGCAAATAAAACATCTACATGAAAAAGTATGCAAGAAATAGTTGATATAAATATGTGTGCAAACAAGGATGATCGAAATGACACTTGTGTCAGTACGCAAACACTGCCTGAGTGACACTCGGGATCAACTGTTAAGTGGTTAAAAGGATATTTCAAAGTTAAAACTAAATTTATTGACTCTATGATTTGTCTTCAAAAAACAATCACATTATAACAATGCAATTTTCAAATGTCGGATTCTCCTTGGAAAGAAAATGAAACTTTGTAACAGGGGTGTTACAGTTTGTACCTCGGTGTCCCTCAAAGCCTCCTGCATTCAGGTGGGAGCTGGCTTTTCAGAGCTGGCTGGATCTAGGGTGTGTGATGCTGGGGTCAAAGGTGTGTGGTACTAAATTAAATACACTGATTGGAATTAGCATAGTTCTGGGTGTGACAGAAAGAACTTAAATGAAGACAGAAACCCCAATCTGGGTGTAGGTGGCACCACCCAAAAGGCTTGGAGCCCCGAGGGAATACAAAGGGGTAAAAGAAGGCAAGCTTGCTGCTGCTCCTGCTGCTTCCTGCTTCCTGCCTGCCCTGCCATGTACTGCTTCTCCTCTGTGATGCCCCTCCGCCATGCTGTCCCGCCTTGGAACCAGCCGGGTGTGGATTGAAACCTCTACAAACTGTGAGCTAAAATGAACCTTTCCTCTTTCAACTTGTGGGTGTCAGCAACAAGTAACTAAGACAAGGGGGTATATAGCTCAGTGGTAGTGTTTACCTAGCAAGTGTAAAGCCTAAGGTTCAATCTTGGGCATCGCCAAAAACACAACGAAACAATAAAACAAGGCAAGCACCCAACTCGGGAATCCACCTCCCTTCATTCCAACAAATAAATGTCTTCAAATGATAAGTCAATTCAGAGACTGTAAACTATGCCATGATGTCTTTTATTACCTATAGGATTTAATAATTTCTTTAATCTCTTCTTACACAGGCAAAAGTAAGTGTGCCGTTCATCATACTAGAACATGCAAAATTAATCATTGGCTAAAGAAGGGAAAATTATCCCCAGAGCATGCTTAACCAGGAGGCCAGTGCATCTGCCGACCTCCAAGAACATGGAGGTGAACGTGATAGACGGACTGTCCCCCATCTGCACCTTCATTCACCACCATTCGGTAACCCCTGTTCAGGCCCAGGTCAGCAGCACATTTCTTGCCAACAATCATTAAATGTCCAAGAAGCTGGAAAAGAAAAACATTTTCTTCAGCACAGGTAACTTATTACTTCTCGCTATTAAATAAAAAATGGTCAAGTTAAAATATCAAAGTAAAAAACGGCCAAGTTGAAACACTACTTTGGACAAGTATTTAGAAATTCTCTCAATCCCGATGAGTTACAATTACAATCCCATTTAAGTATTGAAACATTACTAGCTTCTCCTTTCCTCACTTTTTCTTGAGAGGGGGCCTCCCTGTGTTTCAAAAGCTGGCCTTGAACTCCTTGTGTAGACCCCAGGCAGGCAGGCTTCCACTACACAAGCCTCTTGCCTCTGCCTCTGTGCAGGGTACCACACCCATTACTAACATTACTAATTCTAGTAAATGAATTAGGTATAATATTTACTCCATTAAAAACTTCTTTAGTTCGGTATGGTGGTGCATGCCTATAATCCCAGCAACTGGGAGGCTAAGGCAGAAGACTGCAAGTTCAAGGACAGCTTGGGCAACTTAGCAGAACCCTGTCTCAAATTTAATAATTAAAAATGGCTAGAGAAATACCTAAGCAGCAGCGAGCCCCTGGGTTTGAGCCACAGTACCGCTAAATAAATAAATAACTTAATTAAATGTTAAAAGGCCTAGAACCCTTGTGGAGCATAGCTGAGGCCCTGGATTCAATCCCCAGTACCACACAAATACACAGAGTCGGGGGAGGCAAGAGCAAAGCACATTTCACCAGGACGGACAGACTGACAAATGCTGAAGTTGGATGGTAAACACCCCAGAAGTCACTATAGCTATCCGCCCTTCTCTGAATGCTTGAAATTTTCCATAATAAAAAGTTACAGAAATATTACGGGACCAACTTGTCAAGATCTAAAATTTTCAGGCCAGGGATTTAGCTCAGTGCTTCCACCTCCTGCTTCGCAAGCACAAGGTCTTGAGTTCGATCCCCGGTACCAAAAACAAACAAAAACACAAATAAAAATTTCATTGTAATTGAATTAAATCAATACTTTAAACCGAGGGAAATGTAATCTTCCACTTAAGTCTTCAAATCTATGAACATGTCGCACTTCTCCATTTACTTAGACTATCAACAGTCTTTGGATTAAAAATTAGCAATAAAGGGTCTGGGATTTAGCTCAGTGGTTCTGGCGCCTGCTTTGCAAGCACAGGGACCCGATTTTGATCCCTGGTACCAAAAAAAAAAAAAAAAAAAAAAAACCAAAACCAAACAAAGAAAAATTAGCAGTAAGTACAGACTTAATATACAACAGACTTTCTATTTTGCCCATTACCCCCAAGTGGAATGGGCTCTTGAAGTCCTGGGTCAGGAACTCATTAGCTCTTAACAGGATACCTCGGCTCCTCTCTCGGGCCATGTAACTTTTAAAGAGTTAATGTCACCACGGAACTATACTAAGCTAAAGAGTCTATATGAAAGACTGAAACCTGACTAATGAGTAATATACGTGATTAAGTCTAGAGCACTAGAGATCACACAGAGTACCAGAAAAAAATGGTATGAGCAACATTAATTCACTCTAACAAACTAAGAGAAATACAAATACAGTTCATTGTATTGGGATGAGTATATGACCAACACTACAGATACTGAAAATATACCAAAGTAATTTAAAATTAAGATGACTCTGACTTATTCCCTTATTTTATTTAAGGCTAGCATATTTTAATAAAACAAAGACTTCAATAAATTAACTCATAATGAAAACTCAGATTACCATAGAACAGTTAAGAAAATGTTTAGAGCATTTAGCAGCCTTCTAAACATCTGTTCCTTACATCTGATATTACTTGCTTATATGTAAGATTTGGGGTTCACTCCAGCTTTAAAACTGCATTTCCTGGCATAGAAAACAAGAGAAAGTTATAGCTATATTCCTTTCATTTGTGGATAAGTTAGCATCCTGCAACTCAGATATTTCCATAAAGTTCTATAAAAAACAAAATAATGAAGATTAAAACAGCCTGACAAACTCAGGCACTTACTAAGGGTTCCTCTGGAAAACCAGCTGCTCTACAGAAAGCTTGAAAATCCTGATCTGGGTAAAGAGATACCATAATCCTCATGGAAAGAGCAATTTACTTAGGGAGAAGACAGTGAAAATCTACACATAATGCTTAAGTGTTTTGGTTTTGTTTTGAGATAGGGTCTTGCTCTGTATCCAGGCTTGCCTGGAACTCCTGTATAGCCCAGGCTAGTCTTGAACTTACCATACTCCTCCTGCTTTAGCCTCCCAAGTGCTGTGATCACAGGAATATACTACCAGGCCTGGCCAAAAGTTACATATATATTTTTGGATTTTAAAAAAATCTTTCAATGAGATATAATTTTGCCTTCTTAAACAGTTCACTTAAAACAATTCACCTTGTGTGGAGGTGTGGTAGTGCATACCTGTAATCTCAGATATTTAGGACACTGAGGAAGGAAGATAACAAGTTCAAGGCCAGCCCGAGCAATTTAGTAAGACTCTGTCTCAAAATAGGGGCAGGGGATTTAGCTCAGTGGTGCCATGCTCGCCTCACAAGTGCAAGGTCCTGAGTTCGATTCCAACTACTGAAAATACATAAATAAATGAATGAAGAAATGTCTGGAGATAACGGTTCAGGGCTCCCTGGGATTCAATCCCCAGGGCCCATCTGCAACATTTTGACAGCTCAGAATTCAACTATAAAAATTACAAATGGAATACAATATTATATAATCCTAACCAATAGGATCTGAGATATTAAAATCTATCTGACCTGTGAGTCCAGGAATGTTGTGCTTTTCAAGGTATACCTTAATTCCTTCTACACAGCTGAGTAACTGATTCTGACTTATCCCTCTTTCTGGGCTGCTTCCTCTAATCCAAGTCAGCAAACTTTGTCTGCAAAGGGCCACAGAATAAATATTGTAGGTTTGTGAGCCTGAGAGAGGAACCAAGGTACCCTGTTAGGAGATAGTGAGTTCCGACCCAGGACAAAATGACGACTCAATTCTGTCTTTGTGGTACAAAAGCAGGCATCAGCCATGGACAATAAACCATAGTATTGTGCTCCAGTAAAATGTTACGAAAACAGGCAGCCAGCCAGATCTGGCCCACAAGCCACATTCCCAACCCCAGATGAATTTGTGAATTTTTTTTTTTTTTTTTTTTTTTTTT